CTGGTACATATTTATGTTTGATTTCTGCTTATCTTTAACTCCGGTAGAAAATATGTCGTGCTGTAAATAACCTTGCACGTTCAAGCAGGCTGAAGATTCCGCACAGCCGCAATTTGTTAGTTGCTGGCTGTGTGAGAATATGATGCATGCTAATTGTGAATGTCTCACTGACGTGATTGCGACAAGATAGTTGCCATTGCCAAGAAGGCCCTTGGCGGCTTGCTTTGGTCGTACCCGGTATGCATCGACAAGCAGATTGATTTCTCCCAATTGTATAATTCTGTGAGAAATTAATTCCTAAAACTTAATAATGTGGCTAAGTATCTCTCGAGCAACTTTGACTCAAGTTTTGAGTTGCTTAGCAAATATAAATTTGAGTCTCCACCCATTCGGCTTCTCTACTTCTCCTCTACTTCTGTCCAAACACCTACGCCTCTCACGCACAAGAGCCTAGCAACATGGATTTATTACCCATGCTGTCTTTATCGCATTCTCCAAGCGATGATTCAAACATTACCCCTATGGTATCCCCTGTTGTATCCCCTGGAGTAGACCCTGTAATTGAACCTGCCCCAGTCAGCGAAACTACTTCAGCCCCGTAAACTTCTGGTCGCAAAGGTAGACCTGCGCGCAATCCAACCCAGATTGTTAAAAGCAATCACAGTGCCTCTTTAGCCCCACCAACTCCTGTTTTATGTTTAGCCCCATCCGCTCTAATTTTGACTATTGTTGTGTCCCCGCTTTCTTCTCACACTACTTCCGATTCATTGGCTGCTTATATTGCTAGCAAATTTTCTGCGAACGTAGAAAGTTTAATTAATGTTTCACATGATATGTTCCCAATCATTTCTGATCCTTAATTTTGGCCTCCACAAATGATTTTTTACGATCTTACGCAAAAAAGGAAAACCAGCCTTTCCCTGTCACCCTTCCGGTCCCTTCGATATAAGGTCCTACCATTACTGCCAAAAAATACAAACTTCGTCTTCTGACCCAGTTTCTATGTCAGAGGTCTGATTTTTAAGCTTAAAAAATCTTTTTACGGCTATACCTTCCTTTGATTCAAATAAAGTCGCATTTTCAGAAACATGGTTAAATTCAACGATATCTGATTGTAAAGTTTGTTCGACCAATTTCATTTTGCATAGAAATGATCGGACGACTCGTGTGGTGGGGCATAAATTGTCGTTAAAGCCACTCTCCAGTCAGAACTTTTCTGTTTTAGTAAGCCTACTGACGCTAAGATTGTCTCAGTTAAGGTGTCTTTTCCTACACTGAATATCTATAGTACATGGCTCCTATGTTCCTCCTTCTTCTGATATTGAAGTTTATATGAAACACTTGTATTAAAGAAGTTTCTTCACACGTGCGTGATATTGACCTATTTATAGTTTTATGTAATTTTAATTTACCGAGCATCTCTTGGTCATTATTCACTGCTGAAAATTATCTAGTATCATCAGCCCAGCATGACTTTTTAGATTGCATCTAGACTTTTCGTTGTTTCAAATCAATTAAATTTCTAATCATTTGAATAGAACACTTGATCTGGTATTTGTTAACGACTACCTTATTCCTAATGTGTCCAGGTCCCTTACTTTATCTCTTCCTGAGGATGTATATCATACTACTTTAGAGGTTGCTATTTTCAGTTGTAGTCCTCTTATTTCTCATTCACATATTAATTTTTGTATAGCACCCTGAACCTCTTAGATGTGTGTATCCCCAATCCAATTCCTTTAACTGTTTCTTCTAAAACCTAAAATATGTAAAATCTAAATATTTTATTAAGTTAATTAAGTATGGTTCTAGTATTGATTTGGCTAAATATTCCATAGGCGAGTCGAACTTCTTTCTTCTGAATTATCCGTGCTATGAGAATTATCTTTCTCGTTGCGAATGGCAATTTGCCCAAAATCCGAGACAATTTTATAATTTTGTAAACTTGGAGAGTAAATCTTCAAGTTTGTCATCTTCTTTTCTCTCTGGATGGATAAAGCTATCAATGATTCTGATGCTGCTACCATATTTGCTAAATTTTTCCAATCAACTTACTAATCTGTCCTAATAATAATTCTTACTCTTATAATATTACTTCCTCCGGTTCTATACCTGCTCCTAATATTTCCCATTTCTTTCTCCTTTCTGCTTTAAGTTCTTTAAAATCTTTTTGCTCTCCTGGGATTGACAATATTTTTAGTTGTATACTAATGGAGTGTAGTGCTTTCCTTCTTCGTTAATCGCTAAAGCTTTTTAAAATATCGCTTGAATCTTCTGTCTTTCTATCTCTTTGGAGAGAATATTATATAATTCCTCTCCACAAGAAAGGTGGAAAATCTGATATAAACTTGCTAGACTGTCCGCTGTCCCTAAATTATTTGAAAAAATAATCACTTCGAATTTGCAGAATTTCTGCAAAAATCAGTTGTCTCCCCTGTTTAACATGGATTCGTAAAGAATCGGTCAACTACGACCAGCCTGCTTGAATTTGCTTCCTTGGTAAATGATGCTTTCCTTTCAGGTATGCAAACTGTCATTTACACTGAGTGCAGTAAGGCGTTTGACTCTGTGAACAATGATCTTTTACTCATTAACCAGACCGTTTAGGTCCATCCATCTATTTTGTTTTGCATTTCCTCTTGTTTAAAAGGTAGGAGTAATGGAGTAATGCTACTTCTGGTGTTCCTGTAGGTGGTCATCTTGTACCTTTACTCTTTACTCTTTTTAAAAATGATCTACCGTCTGTTATATTAAATGCCCAAACTGACTTGGGCATACTTTCATACACTAGTCCCCTACATCATTCTCGTCTACAAGATAATTTGAACGCTATGCAACTTTGGTGTTCGACCAATCAATTGCATCTAAATTGCTCAAAGAGTATGTTTATGACCTTTAATCGTACCACACCTTATCTTGTCAGTTAAACAATCGACAATACACTATTGCAACGTATACTAACAGTTAAGGATCTAGTTCGCCCTATCCTTGAATACTGCTCTTGCATCTGGTTCCCGCAGTATAACAATAGCCAGGATATTATTGAATCAGTTTAGAAGCAATTTCTGCTTTTTGGTTTAAATTGGGTCCCCAAATTTCGCTTGCTATCATTCAGCAGGCTTCTTCTTCTTGAGCTTCTGTTAATAACCAACCGTAGGACAATCCTCGGTGTTGTCTTCCTACATAAGCTGATTATTGCCGAAATAGATTCCTCTTTTCTGTTAGTGCGTCTTCAATTGTCTGTTCCGTCTAGACCTACCAGGAATTATCGACCCTTATTCCTACCTAAGAGATTGCATGTCTCCGCCGAAATTTATCTACCCCTAATAAATTTCTATTGAGTCAGAGAACTTTACCTGGTGAAAGGAACTAACACTGTTTGGCCAGGTAAATTGATATTCTTTACACTGACACTATCTCTGAGCTATATTTTAAGGCTTTTTGCATTTTCTCCGTGATTTTTAAATGCTTATCAACTATATAACTGGCAAGGTCATCCGCATAGCCCTTAGATGACAACTCTTTGCTATTTAGCTTGCTAGGAGCTTGTCTATGACCAGAGTCTAAAGGAGTAAAGGAGTCTTATTGAAAGCATTCTCTTTTGGCGACTTGGTGCCTTCCACGCCACAAAACGTTCTATGATAGTTTGGTTTTAAGGGCCTAGAACATACTATAGCCCATTGCATACTTCATGGATCGCCATTAGGGGTGTTCTCCTGTTCACGATGGAGCGAATGCCTATTGCCGTCGATTTTGTTTCCATAGGCTCCACAGTCTCACCTCTTGGGTGGTGCGCATCCCTCTCGATCGAAGCTAAAATATTTTTCGTCTCCTCATCTATGCTTACTCACCCCGGAAAGTGAGTTTTCACCAGTAGCTTACTGGTTTCCCGTGGGTTTCTATTATCTTGCATCTTAAGAAACACGTACTTTTTAAGTTCTCTTTTTAAATTTCCTTTTGTAAACGAACCGATTCTTCCATAGTGTCCAGTGTCCCTTTTAGATCTTCACGACTCTTAAAGAATGAATGACCCTTAAATAGTCTGTTGTGCTACACTTTGTTCTTCGAATTTTTTACTTTTTAGCCTGTTGGAAATTTCCAATCCAAAAGTAAAATGTAGTGTTTTAATGTTTGCATGTCTTGAATTCTGTCGGCCTTCTTGTATTCTCAAAAAGGGCTTCTGCACGGACCGTTGAGAGGAGAAGCTGATAGTCAATGTGTTGCTGCTGGTGACATCCCGGTAGGCTGGGCAGCTGCTAGGGGTGGTCGGGTCTTTAAAACCCATAAGTTTGTCCGTGGCCAACTAGCCAACGCTTCTTCAGGTGTCGTAGTGATCCTTTTAAGCGGCAGTCCTTTTAACGGCAGTGCCGGCAGTGCATTTTGGAGTCAGAATTAATTGGCTTCAAAGCCAACTTTCCGGAATCTTAAGTTATTATGTCCCTTTTCAGGAGGAAGCTAAACCGATTCCGAACAGATCTGCGCAGCTAAATCTTCTTTATTTTGGCTACCGAGTCTTTGGGAAGCGAGGCTAGTAAAGCCTGGCCATAGATATGGATCTGGAAGCCAGTTTGTAAGGACTGATGTAAGACAGATGCTTTATCGCTTATCGACACTAGTGTTTCTCGTTCGACTATGGTCCACTTGTGTCCCCCGGTGCGGTATTATTAAGCTCCTTCGTCCGATCGTTCCTATGGCAGCTATATGATATAGTGGTCCAATCCAGCCGGTTCCGACATATGTACTGCGTGCAACAGAAAGAGGGCCGTATGCAAAGTTTCATGACGATAGCTGAGAGAGACTTGTTCGCATGGAAACAGACAGACGGACATAGCTATATCGACTCGGCTGTTGTTGCTGTTCAAGAATATATATATTTAATAAGGGGGGAAATGCGTTACACATTTCGTGACAACATTTTAATATGGTATTAAAAGTGTATAAAATCTATAATGAAGGTCTCCCACCAATTTTCATAATATATACTAATTTTATATTTTTAGGATGAAGCCAACGAAGAAGACATTAAAGTCTTGCAATGTTCGTACCAAAACAAATTGGATTGTTTAACTGAGAACGACAAGTAAGTTTCAGCTTGCAATTTTACAAAGTTTTTTTTATTTACTTTGGGTATATAACCTGTTTACTCTCTATACATAAAAGAATTAGTCCTAACTGACTGACTGAACGGTCTACGTAAAGTACGAAGCCTTAGCTGTAAAAACTGGACAAGATTTCCGTGGAGATGACAGTCTTCGTATTTACATTTTTATTTATAGTGCAATGGTAACTAATTGATCGCGTGGGAGTCTGGAGTATGATTATCGAAGTACACCGACAACTTCGATAGCACTTGAGTTTTCAACCATTTTACTCCTTCGATGACCAGTCATATTTTGTATGTACACTGCATAGCATTTTGTTATGTAAGAGTTTAATTTGTGGGATATTAGTGTAGTTAGTTATTTTAGTGTTGAAATAATTTTGTCTATATCAGTAAGATTGATGTGAAGACAATAATGTCCGAATTCTGACAGGATTTTTATTAGTTTGTCGGAAAATAAGAGGTATCCAAGGTCAGTATCGATGTTGTTGATCTGAATCTGTTGAGTTTGGCATAATTTCTTACAAGTGAGGGAGAGTATTATGATGAACCAGGAACCTATAGGATAGGAATTTGATTAATCTATTTTTGTTTCTTGAGTTGGGTCTTGTAGTAGTGCGTCTCTCTATTTCTGTTACTAATTTTGTAATGGTCATCGTCAGTTTGTTCGACATTCTTGGTTAGTTTACATGGGCTTTCCAATTTGCCTTTTTATAATGGTCCCTTTCTATATCTAGTGTCAACTTCGTATTCTTTTATGTTTTTGTTTATTTTTGTCTGGCTACGCAGCCAAAACAGCTGGAGCGACCTCGCCACTGATAAGAGCAGCATCGTCTTCTTATCTTGTAATACTTGCTCTGCGAAGCAACTGTTTAAATTTCGCTCTTAAGATTATTTACATTAAGCTGGCGCTCTTCGCTGTAACGATCATTTATTGCCCTAACATTACCTTTTGCGAAGGCCTCGATGCTGTGCGTCGAGTCTAGTTAATGCACGTTCGCTTCGTGCATTTGGTACGCATCGGGCACTTGCATTATAAAAACATATTAATTTGTCGCAATTGTCGCTTAAATCGGCACGTACCAATTCGTGTTCGCTTACCTACAAAATCTATTGTTCTTAAATAATAAACACAGACCAATTCGGGGCTGCCTGCTTATCGTAACTTATAATAAATATATAAACAAATTCGAACACAAGAAATAAAATAAAGTTATTTATTTCTATTTGTGAAAGCTATTGAAAAAGCTCAATAGCGCAACAATTTAGTTAATTTTAATTTCCTTGTTTTGTTGTGTATCTAAGGTCGGTTGTCCGGCATTAATAAATATGTGAGCAGGAGTTTGTCCAGTAGTGCCGTGTTTAGTTTTGTAATTGTAAATATAAAGTATTTTCTCTATCTTGCTTAGTTTGGCTTCACTTTCGTCTGAGTTTCCAATAATGCGGATTTTTTCGTTTATTGTTTTATGGAGTCTTTCTATATCTGCTACGCCGCGCTCTCGTGTCATCTTTTAAGGGATAAACTGGCGAACGCACCATATCTGCCTGCTCTTAAAAGTCTGGGTTTTCCAAAATGATTAAATATGCTTTTATTTTTATTTGTACAAGAGTAGCGAATTTAGAATAGATGTCTAAGCTTTAAAATTGATTGTCTTCAGAAGAATAAATGTCTATTACAAACTTATCGCGGCAATGCTCGGGCTTGGGTGTGATTTTCATTGGTATGTTTGTGTTAAGATGCTCTGTTTTTGCTTAATTGCATATTTAACATTCGGTAATTATATTTTGATTGAGGAGATGGCTATTGAGTAAATAGTATGTCTCGCCAAAAAGTTTTGAAGTTTTCTGAATTCCTGGATGTAGAAGTTTCTCATGTGTGGTTAGAACTAATTCTTTAAATTTTGCATAAGTAGGTATGTTTTTTACAATTTGGACAATTTTGGTATATTTGGAATTAATAGTTTCCTTATATGCGTTTTGAATCATTTCGAAATCTGCATCGCTGTCGATGTATGGAGCGGTGTTTTTAGAACAAAAATAGTCAAGTAAATATTGTTTGGCTGTTTCTATGGTCATATCTTTATAGGAGATGTGTATGATTTGTTTTTTGAAATAAGTCTCTTATTGTGTATTAGTAGGACCTTTGGAAAATATAACTTGTCGCTTATGTCAATTGATGGGTTTCTGCGCCATGTTGTGTAGACTCACCAAAAATGTTTGTTCTATTGTTATTTTAGATAGGGTGTCGGCGACATAGTTTTCTTTTCCTTTAATGTATTTTATTTCAAAGTCATATTCTGAAAGTCTAATTTTCCATCTCATTAATTTTGCATTAGGATTTTTTAGCTTGTCCAGCCATCACAATGGTTGCTGATCGGATGCTACTTCAAAGTGTCGCCCTAATAAATAATGTCGAAAGGTTTTAGTTGCCCAGACTATAGCTAACAATTCCTTTTTTATAGCCCTGTAATTTACTTCATGCTCGTTTATAGCACTTCTGACGTAGCTAACAGGAGTCCATCTTGTGAGAGAACAGCTCTTAAAGCTACGTTGCTCGCGTCTGTGGTTTATATGAATTTTCTTTCAAAGTTTGGTATTCTTAAAATTGGGTCTTCGGAGATTAATAATTTCAGCATTTGGAATGCTTCTATGTAATCTTATTGTTTGGTGTTTACTTTGTCTTCTTTTTCCAAACATTTAGTTAAGGGATTAGCAATGTCGGCAAAGTTGGGTTTGAATTTTCTATAATAGCCTGTCAGTCCTAAGAAGGCTTTGATTTCTTTGTGTTTTTTTGGTAATGGTTATTTTACTATGGCTTTTGTTTTGTCGGAATTTGGTTTAATTCCATCTTTAGTGATTACGTGTCCTAAAAAGGTTGTTTCCTTTTTAAGAATTTGCATTTGTCTAACTGTAACTTTAAGTTTGCTTGTGATAGTTTTTCGAAAACTGCCTGCAAGGATTGTAAATGTTCCTCTAGAGAGGTGGAAAAACTATGATGTCGTCTAAGTACACTAAGCAATTTTTGTTTAAAAGCGGACGAAGTAGGAAGTTCATATAACGTTGAAATGTGGCGGGGGCATTTAAGTCTAAATGGCATTCGTGTGTATTCATGATGACCGTGCTTGGTCGAAAATGCGGTCTTGTGCATTGATTCTTTATCCATTTCTATTTGGTGGAAGCCTTTTGCAAGATCAATCGTCGTGAAATAATTACATTTACCTAGTTTGCCTAATATTTCATCCATGTTTGGTATAGGGTTACTGTCGTTTACAGTGACTTCATTTAATTTTCTGTAGTCAATTACAATACGGAATTTCTTCTCTTAAGAGGCATCTAACTTTTTAGGTACAACCGAAATGGGGCTACAATATGGTGAATTACTTTCTCATATAATTCCTTGCTCTAACATATACTGAGATTGTTTCTCTGCTTCCTTTTCGTAGGTCTGTGGGTAGCTATACAATTTTGAGTAGATGGGGGCGTTATGTGTAGTATATTAGTGTGTTTTGCCTGATTGAAGGTGAGTTTATCGTCTTCATGATATTGGATTGGACATTTTTTAACAAATTAGTTAATTTATGTTTTTCTTCTGTATTAAAATGGTCTGAGCATATCGGAAAAATATGTTTCGTTTACATTGACGATATCATTATCTTCAGCAAAGATAATGATATGGTCACATGCTCGTGACCTCGACGCAATATTCACAGCTCTACAGGAAGTCAACATGAAGGGTCAGTTGGACAAATGCGAGTTCTTCAAAAATAGAGTAGACTTATTAGTATTTGTCATCTCAGACAAAGGCATAGAAACTAACCCCAATAATATCGAGACAATATGAAAACACTCAAAGATCAAAGATCTTTCATTGGACTTGCCAGCTTCTATAGAAGATGGCAGTGGCAATGGAAGCTTTCATCAAGATAAAAAACTCCTGCTTCCACCCAGCATACAGCAGATAGTTCGAGCCACAACTAAAAACCAGTCATTGGAGGCCCAATAAATATATTTAAAAACCAGATATTCCTTAGCGACACGGATTACAAGCTTTACATCCCATTCCCAACCTTTCATAGACACACCATAACCCGAACAATTTCACAGAACAAGATCTTATACAGATATTGAAAGCTCACCTAAGCCCATCAGTAATTAACGGAATAATAACTTCAGAGGAAATAGTGAGCCAAATTCCACAGATATATCACCAACATTTTAGAAACTCCAAGATTAGATTCACACAGTCTCGGGTAAAAGATTTAACAAATGAAGCAGAACAAGAGAAGAAGATATTGATTACCCACAACAGAGTTCACCGTAACGCACTAGAGTCCAAAAAATAATTATCTGAAAAAATCAACGAATAAGAGAACTAGTCAAACAGCGAAGGGTTTGTGAAGAAGAAAATACGACAGGCATCCAACTAAACTCAAAGAAGCACCAATGCCCGAATACCTAGGACTGACAATCCATATCAAAATATACATGACAGAAAAGAACCTAGTACTAACAGCAGTAGATACATTTCCGAAATTAGCTCATTGACGAGTAATCAAATTCAGGGCAAAAGAAGACATTAAAAAACCACTTCATGAAATCCTATTTTATTTTAGCGTACTGAAAGCCGTTGTAATAGATAATTAATAATTCCTTAACTCAGTCTCAATCACTTTTAAGATGCAGGACCAATTAGGTATAGAAGTTTATAAAACACAAAAGCGCAGTGAATGGTCAGGTAGAAAGGTTTCACTCAACACTATCATATATTATGAGATGCAATAAGAGAAAACAGGAACATAGAACTTTTGAAAAACTACTTAACAAATCAGTATACGACAAAACTACACTATAAACTCAACAACTACCAAGAGACAATTAGACATATTATTTGGCAGAAACGTGACTAAGACCCAAACCAATACGAAAGAGCTAGGCAGGAGAACATTACCAGACTCAATCGACTGACATACAAAACCACAACAAATGACGCAAAGACATACGCAACAACCTTTTTTACCTTCAACACAATAGCACAGCATATTAGGCACACCCTTGAAATATGTAGTCGGAAGCCCAGACAATGACAATCTGATAATGATCACTGACAACTTAGAAAAATGATTGAAAACGATTATAAACAGATTATTATAAACAGAAAGTTAAAGGATCGCATTAATAAACTTACAAAATTCTCAAACGTATTAAACAATAAGCATAAGAAAAAAATCGGTCATACGCGGCGAGATAGCGATCAGTTTACAGGATCAAGTTAGGCTTATAAAAGAAGAAATAATGAATATTAAGTACGCTATACAATGGGCGAAATTGAATTTAATCAACACATTCCTACTTGGCGAGAAAGAAATTGAGATAATTAATGAAATGTTTAATAAAACCAACATGCCATATTTTAATATTGATATGCTAGAATTTTCAGATGTATCTATTTTGCATAATGGAACAACTTTTTACTAAAATCCCAAATTTAGAAAAAACAGAATTTAAAAATACAATCATAAAGCCAGTAGTGAAAGATAATAATATTATAAACTTAGAATTTACCTAACTTTTTCATTATAATAAAACAATTTATGGCATAAACAACAATTGTAAAAGATATTATAATATTAATATTTGTAACAAATCAAAAATTGTAAATATGACCACTAGTAAGTGTATACCTAAGTTAGTTGATGGAGATCAAGCGCTCTGTGGCCTTGCAATGCAGACCATATCTCGGAGATCGAAGAAATCGACAATGGACTTATATTGGTGAACGACTTTAACGGCTCGATTAAATGGCAAGAGAAGGAGAAACGTGTGAGAGTCACCAAAATGGTAAATTTCTGGAACGAAACTTTGTTCATTAAAAAACAAGAGTTCGAAAACTTAGAATTAACAGTGATGACCCCATGAAATCCCTCAATACAAATAACACCAATAGAAAAAGACAAAACTTAGATTCTATCCCTGAAGCGTAAGAAGAATTGGACATCAACAACAAAAAACATGCAAAAACTTCATATACACTCTATAGCAAATAGAGTCGGCTTCATAACTCTGTTCACAGTTACCAGCCTTCTTACCTGTGTATTACACGGTTTGGAGAGAAAAAAAGAAAAATAAAATAATGCAACTGAACAAAGAACAAGAAAACCACTCAAGAGAATCAATGCATATCCAAATACAAATTACAGATACCAACAACCTCAGATTCAACAACATACCCTTCTTCTGACGATCGCTTGAGGACAAGCTTAAATGCCCAACGGGAAAACAACATCAGCAGCGACGCCGTTGCCAACGCCGCTAAGCCACAGATTAGTAGGGCTAGAATTGATTTAAGTTTATTCAGTTGCTTAACCACATCAAATAAAGGAAGCCTTGTTTCCTAAAAATTATATTTTTTTCGTCGTTTAATAAACGTTGAAGTTAACCTATACAAGCGCTTGGTCTCGGACAACTGTCTAATTTACAGCGAAATGAAATTGTAATGACAGTTAATTTTTGACACTAATTAGCATTCGCTCAGAAGCACTAAAGATCGCCCAAAAAATAATATATTATATGTATATAAATCTTCAAAGCGGTTCCTTAGTGCATGCAAATTTAATTTATGCTCAACTACATATGTTCCAAGAATTGAAAGCGTTGGGCTTTCAATTTTTAACACAGTTCCTACTGTTTCGGACGTTCCATGTTAGAAGCTACTTTCGTTGGCATTCCGTGGCATTCACGATGGCAGCATGACAGATAATTTGTATTTTTCTATGCCGACGCGATTTTATTTAAATTTTTAATTTACTTGAGTTTATTTATTTATTTATTTTTTTAAAATTGTTCACCCGGGGACGCCATGAAAATGTATATGATTTTATATAAACATAAATAAAAAACAGGTGGCTTTAAAAACAAAAATTTTATGTGCTTCGTGCTGATCGGTTATTTTTACTTCGCCAACTGACTTCATAAACTTCTTCAGCCTAATTTAAGCTACGGTTGCGATGCAAGGCGAATTCGCTCCCAGAGCGAGTATACCTAACTTACACTCGACTTCGAGTTTTTAATACAATTAATTAATCAATACGCGGATCTGCGCCAACAGATTTATTTATTTGATTTACAACTAAGGTGTGTAGCGCGGATGGCGATAGCTTTTATCAAAGTTACTTTATCTTTAAATGTTATTCTAGAAGATACATGTCAAGTTTGGTGACCTAGCTCTTAAAACCTACGGGATTTTCTCAAAGAACATGATAATATCTGAAAATTACCAAAATCTAGCACTTATAGATCGAAGAGTTCTGTTATTGTTGCTGATCAAGAATAAAAGAATATGTATACTTAATGGGATCGGAGATTATTCTTTCTGCCTGTTACATACATTTGCACAAAAGCATTATTCCCCTTTTAAGCATTGTCAAGGGGTTCATGGTACAAAAACAGAGCTACCTAGTGTGCAAATGTCTGGGACTGCTGTTGGCGAAGATATTATTCAAATCATATCACCTCGTCATTGTCGGATATTGCTTACAAGTAATAATATGTGTGTTTTTTTTTCAGGATTTGTTTAAGTATCCATAACTTTATGAAGGATGGGATAAGAATGCCTTCCCAAAAGCGCACAAAAGAGAAGTTTAAATCACCGTTTAGTTCTAAATGTTCATATGGCTACTCATCTCACATTGAAGGATTTCACGACAGTACAGGTAAAAATTTTTTTATTTGTTCACAAAATGAAAATATGTATATACTTTTTGCAATGCCTATCTGTCAGCATTCCCCAATATAGACACAAAAGCAAACATATCTCTATATATATGTAAGAACTGTTTGTGTTGATTAACTGATTAGTAATCAACGCACAGCTCAAAAATGTATTCGCTGTATTTACCTTACATGATAAGGGTGCACGCTGGGACTGGATTTTTAAAAATGCCCGCACGTGTGGAAAATTCGAAAAAAAGTTTGTATGAAACTGTTATGGTTAGAATTCAATCGGCCCTAAACTCATTGTTAAAGATCTTTGTTTTAATTTAATTCGAAAAAACGTTTGTATGAAACTGTTATGGTTAGAATTCAATCGGCCCTAAACTCATTTTTAAAGATCTTTGTTTTAATTTATTTGCTGGGTGTCGAAAATTTGGATGGTGCTGTTTCGGGCTTATATTATTTTCTGAGAATCATTATGAAATTTTATTTGAATAGTGCTGTACACTTTTTGCAGAATTAAAGCTTTCACGGTACATTTTTTCCGTATTGCTTTAAACTTAATTTCAAAGCCCCTAATAATAACTTAATGGAATCGTGCATCAGCGATATTGGAAATTCTATCCACAACTTCGATAAATTGGCGGCAAATGGCTTTAAACTCATTTTCAAACAATTTTGTGAACATAAATGTGCTACGTTTTTCGCAAAGTTCACCGGTCTTGGGTGGACAATGCGGGTCAAATGTTTAATAAATAAAAATTTTCTTTTCGGCTCCAAGATTCTTTCCACAAAACTATCATGGGCGGAAAACGTTGATGACAACTTGTGGTTCTCTATTCGATGAAGTTTACCCAAATTCTCAAATAGAAGTGAAGTGTAATGAGAAGACTTGCCAATTGAGTTAGCCCCCGCCACATGAATTCATTCAAATTGTTGGACTTGCTGCGTATTTTGTTGTTTTACAGACAATGGTCTTAATTTTCGAATATTGCTATAAGTGTTGTTTCAGCTTCTATCAAATCTATCAAATTTCGGGCAACGCCTTTTAGTTTGGTTTTTACCACAGATACAGCCAAATTTTTATATTATCCTTTTATCAAATCAAATATTTTGATTGCGTCGAGAAAACTCTGTAGATGATCGCGTTTTCCGTCTAATTCTGGAATTAGCTTTGAGGTTTGAGGTTTTGAGGATTGTGCCATTTTTATAATCGGATTTTAGGAACTATTTTTTTATGGATTGATGGATAAAAGTTACCGATGTTTTAAGTACTGATGGTAAGAAGGAATATTGAAGATTGTACTTTTCATTTAAGTTAGCCGGATTTCTTTTAGACTTTGAAATGAGTTTAGAGTTTGGATTTGTGAAAGCTTCTTTATCAGTTTTGATTGTCACAAACCAAACATCTGATTTCAAACGGGGGCGCTTCTATTTTGAAATATGAATTTTAAAAATTCTCTCTATATTGTGAGAGTTATAACTATAGCTATATAGTTATAGCAACATAGCATGGTTAGGCGATGATTGGGTAGAGTGGTTTTGGCAGTCACAGGGTCATAAAGTATTATTGGCGAGTTGAATTTCAGCAAAGCGGCTCCCCCCACATTCATGGCGTGATTTGAGAGGTTGACTTGACTGATGAGTAAAGCATTCCGTCTGTAAAATCCTTTATTGATCAGTTAATCACAGCTGAAACAAAGGCCCTGATTGTGGCTCCATTTTTGGAGTATCAAACTCACAATCAAGGGCACTCATGTTGCCGAGAAGTTAGGGCACTGAAAAGATTCAGGGCGTTTGCTACGACAGCAACAGGCACACACACGAATCTGAATTATTTTTATTTAATAAACCCTTAAATGACATAAATAATATAATTAAATTTTATTTAATAATTATGTTGGTTTCTGTGGGCTAGGATGGTAAAAAACCGTTTTCGCCATTTTCCACACTTCCGCGTGGAATTTCTCTTGGCGGACACGTTCATCACATAAGGTAACTACAGTGGTTAGGTTTCAGGTTCCCAGCTCTTACGGTTTCGGCTGAGCGGTGATCACCAATCAGTCAGTCAGTCGGAAAAATTATTTGATACATTGACAGTTAGGTTGTTTTTATACCCTGAACCCATTGAAAATGGGTAAATGGGGTATTATGTATTTGTGCAAATGTATGTAACAGGCAGAAGGAAGCATCTCCGACCCCATAAAGTATATATATTCTTGATCAGCATCAATAGCCGGGTCGATCTAGCCATGTCCGTCTGTCTGTCCGTCCGTCCGTATGTCTGTCCGTCTGTCCGCATGTATGAACGCAAGGATCTCAGAACCTATAAGAGCTAGAGACTTGAAATTGAGCTATAGGTCCTCCTAGTTCCCGCGCAGATCGAGTTGGTTTCCGGTATTCAGTAACTTGCCCCGTTTCATCGATAAAAATCGATATCAAAATCCTGTTGTTGGAGTAATTTCGGCAAATAATATTAGCTAGAGTCACCAAACTTGACGTGTAGCTTCAAGAATAGTATATATATATCAAGTATCTTTCATTTTATACCTATCGCCACCTCCTCGCTATAAATCAAGTTAATTATCCAACTTGTATTGCCCATCAATTTAAGCCACAATTTATATGCAATTGAATTTTTGAGAATACACAAATATTCTTTATTCTATTCTACAATAAGATGTACTGTCGAAAATTTCATTAGGATCGGTTAAGAATCACAAAAGTTATGTGCGCACGTGTTAGCAGCATAGCTGCTGCGTAAATGATTCAGCATTAGTGTTCGAGCCCTGCCATGATTTTGTCTTTTCCTGATATATATAGCAGTTCATAGTCTTATTCTTCTGGATGTGCTTTCTATTTATTCTTGGAGTCCCATTCCAACTACTGAGTGAATGGTCGGTGAAAATTGTAAATAATTTTTCCATACCGTAAAAGAAGTTTCTTAGCGCTTTAAGAGCTCATATGTTGCAGTTAAGTCCTTCACGAGCGTTCAAAATAATTATTCAGACAATCTTGCTTCCCACTATTACTTTCACTCAACAATCAGATTACCGTTCAATGTTAAAACTGCAAAATACCTTTTACAGTTAAATGTACAAAAATCGATAGACAGCTCTTCAATTTAATTAACATTCGAGGCATAAGTAAGCAAAAATTAAATATCGCTGACATCGGTACTTAATACTATATAATAAGCCGCTTAATTTTTTTTTGCCTTTGAGAGGTAGAATTCTTTACTAAAGTCGGGGTATCTTAGGGTGACTTCGTCGAATAGTAATGAGTTTTTCATCATCTTAAAGGCTTCGGTTTCTCATGGCTAAAATAAATTTTTTTGTGAGCCTCTTAAATTTGAAGTTTAGGGCTTGGCAAGTGTTGCGTTCCCTCTAATAAATCTTCTGCAATATACAGAGTGAAGAACTTCGAAATTTGTTCTGCACATATAATTTATGTTCTTTATATATGCTTGTAACTATGCCGCCCTTAGCCTGTCCTTAGGTGGATATTTAAGATTTCTTCATTTTGTGATAAATTTACAAATTTTTGTGTTCTGGAAAATGTAAAATATTTTTATTTTCTGAGTGCTTTCTTATCGTTTTATATTTTAAAATTATTTTATGAGGAATGCCTTTATATTTATAGATAAATATAAATATAATTGATAACAATAATAATAAGTTTTGTAAGTGCTATAGTTTGTTCATGTGTTTTTGTATTATTTCCTTTGCCTAAATATTAGACAATGTTTCTAATTTGGTTACATTATTATTGTGTGTAATTTAACATTATGTTGATAACTTCATCTAGTTGGACAGAAAAGATAAATGCACAAAATATTGGTTCCTTCCATTATTTTTTCTCTATCTATGTATAATGCATCTGTTTATAATGTCTACGTGATTAATTACTTGTATACCTTTATTAATTTCATCTATTACGAGAGTATTGCGATTGTATTATGTACTGTGTATGTTCTTTTTATACCCTGAAACCATTTAAAATGGTTAAAAAGCGTATTATTTGTGCAAATGTATATATCTCCGGCAGAAGGAACCATCTCCGACCCCATAAAGTATATATATTCTAGATCAGCATCAAACAGCCGAGTCGATCTAGCCATGTCCGTCTGTCTGTCCGTCCGTCCGTCCGTCCGTCTGTCCGTATGTATGAACGCATGGATCTCAGAACCTATAAGAGCTAGACACTTGAAATTTTAGCTGTAAGTCCTTCTAGTGCCGGCACAGATCAAGTTTCCGATTTTCGATAACTTGCCCCGTTTCCAAGTAATGGATAAAAATAGATATCGAAAGCCAACTTTTTGAGTAATTTTGGTAAATAATATGAGCCAGAGTCACCAAAATTTACTTGTAGCTTCTAGAAAAGTATATATAAATTAAAACAATCGTTGATTGTTTAAAGAATACGCTGACTTTTCGCACGTTTCGATTATTGGTCATGCACCTTAGCCGTGATCGTTGGGCTGGGTGCGTGAGTACTTCCTCTTAGTATTTGCAGTAACTGTTCTTAACTCTTTCCCCTTTAAACGCGGACGTCCTCGGACGCGATCTAATAGCGTGTTTGGGTAGTGTTGGAGTGTTCTATTGGAATGGCTTCAGGTCGAGTAGCATCCCCGTTGATTTGTAGCGAGGTGCTTCTTTGCCTAATCAGGCGAACGACTACTGCCACTATTAAGATGAGCAGTGTGCCTTAGAGCGTAACGTTTACGGTTTTCGTATTGGTGTTGCTGCTCCTAAGGGTTTCCTGCTCTTTTGTGTTGTTAATGTTGATCTCGTTCAGCATTTGTAACGACAGAACTTCGTCGACCTTTGTTTTTTCCGCCATTAATTGAAGCAAAGGTGGAGTTGTTTCTGCGAACATCATTGTTTTCGATGTTCCAGTTCTTACTGTAGAGTTCTTGAATTGGATAAGGAATGTCCCCTTCGAGTCCATTGTCTCCTTATCGATGCCGATTGTGCCCTTGAAATCGTTAAGCAGAATC